AAATGCAACGCTCCGGATCCCAGAGCACGTGTACTAACAACTCACAGTCATTCAGCTTCCGGAGGTCACAGTGTCCCCAGGTGTAAGCTCTCTAAGGCAGGGGAGCTTTGGGAATGTTTCCAAAGTTACAATGACTAAACCTTGAACTGACAAAAAGAAGTCTCTGCTCTCTAGAAACAGCATCCTTTGTATGTCACCTACGACTGCTCCCTCAATAAATTCCCTAATTTATTTACAACAATCTCTCTTAAACCTAATTTCATTTCAGTCAGCAATGAATTGCTTAAAGAAAGGAATTTTGAGGTCTTAATTTTATGACTGACTTCAGTGCAACGCTGAAACTCTTCTTTACTAAGCAGAGTTTAAACTATAGTTACTGAAGATGATTTTTTTTTTAAAAAAAAGCAAATCATTGAGACCCACTGTGTCCCGAGAACCTACCCTGACCCCATTCAGGATGAAAATTTCCAGGAGGAAAAAAAAAAAGAAGAAAACATGGTAAAACATGCCAAAAAATGGGCTCAGAACTCTGCCTAACACCATGTACAAAAGTAAGATCGAAATGGATTAAAGACCTCAACATCAGACCAGAAACCGTAAGATACATCGAAGACAAAGTTGGCAAAACCCTCCATGACATTGAGGCTAATGGTATTTTCAAAGATGACACACCACAGGCTGAGCAAGTGAAAACAGAGATAGATAAATGGGACTATCTTAAACTAAGAAGTTTCTGTACCTCCAAAGAAACAGTGACCAAAATACAAAGACAGTCTACAGAATGGGAAAGAATATTCGCCGAATACACATATGACAAGGGGTTGATATCAAGGATATACAAAATACTGGTTGAACTCCACAAGAAGAAAACATCCAACCCCATCCAAAAATGGGGCAATGAAATGAACAGAAACTTTCTCAAAGAAGAAATCCGAATGGCAAAAAAGCACATGAGAAAATGCTCTACATCATTAATCATCAGGGAGATGCAGATCAAAACCACAATGAGATACCATCTGACACCTCAGAGACTGGCCCACATTCAAAAGAACAAAAGCAACCGTTGCTGGCGCGGATGTGGCGAGAAAGGGCCTTCACTGTTGGTGGGAATGCCGACTGGTTCAGCCCTTTTGGAAAACAGTATGTACGTTCCTCAAAAAATTAGAAATTGAGCTCCCATTTGACCCAGCGATACCACTCCTGGGAATATATCCCAGAGAGGCAAAAATGTGTAGCCGAAGTGACATCTGCACTTGTTTGTTCATTGCAGCACTCTTTACAGTAGCCAGAAACTGGAAGAGACCTGAGTGCCCAAGAACAGATGACTGGTTAAAGAAACTTTGGTACATCTACACAATGGAGTACTATGTAGCTCTTAGAAAAGATGAAGTCATGAACTTTACATACAAGTGGTACAATATGGAAAGTATCATGCTAAGCGAAATGAGTCAGAAAGAGAGGGATAGACATAGAAAGATTGCATTCATCTGGGGGATATAAAATAACAAAATATGAGATTAATACCCAAGAATAGCTGAGATCAACACCAGGAGGATTACTCCATAGCTTAGAGGCCAGCCGGGTATTCCAGGGGAAAGGACAGTTCAGATGGAGAAGGGAACACCAAATGGAGGGTGTTTGGAGGATCCTCCCAGGAGGGGAGATGCAGGTTGAAAGTAGACTGGACTGAACATGTTCGCCACTCAATGCCTCTTTTGCTGATCACAACACCCAAAGGAAGAGAGAGAACAAAAGGGAATGCCCTGCCACAGTGGCAGGGGGGGATGGGGGGGTGGGGGGATGGGGGGGGAGGGATATTATCCTGGTGGTGGAAAATGGGCACTGGTGGAGGGATGGGTATATTTGATCGTGGTATGACCGAGATCCAAGCACAAAAATTTGTAAATCTACAACTGTACCTCATGGTGTTTCACTAATAATAAAAAAATAAAAAATAAAAAATAAAAAATAAAAAAAGCAAATCATTAAGACCCACTGTGTCCCGAGAACCTACCCTGACCCCATTCAGGATGAAAATTTCTAGGAGGAAAAAAAAAAAGAAGAAAACATGGTAAAACAGAGCAAAAAAATAGTAACTACTTCTTTCGGCATTATTTGATTTTACAAAAGAAGCCTGTGTTGCAGACAATGAACCTGCTTTAAAGGGTCTTGGGCACTCCTAACTCAAATCTCTGTTACAGAAAAATATTATCACTTTTTTTAATTGGTACCAGGAATTCAGAAATAATACAGCAATTCTTTTCCATGCGGTGATTTATTTTTTTAAAGAGACTATAGCAAGGTCATAGCACTGTAGCACTGTCCTCCTGTTGTTCATCAATTTGCTTGAGTGGGCACCAGTAACGTCTCACAACAAATTGTGAGACCTGTTGTTACTGTTTATGGCATATCGAATACGTCACGGGGAGCTTGCCAGGCTTTGCTGTACGGGCGAGATACTCTTTGTAACTTGCCGGACTCTCCGAGAAGGGCGAAGGAATCAAACCTGGGTCAAGTGCGTGCAAGGCAAACGCCCTACCCGCTGTGCTATCGCTCCAGCCCATAGCAAGATCATAACAAAGTTTATTCAACTTGATATATTCTAGAAGACTGGGGTGTAGACTTGTATTACTATTATAAGGTCTAGGCTAGGAGAGATGGATTCTTGGATGCCTTTACAAACAAGATTTGGAAATATTCTAACACTAGGGAACATCTTAGTGTTTAAATTATTGCCAAATATCAAGAATTTGATGTTCGGACTAAAATTCATCTAAACAGGGGGAGAAAGAAAATTCTTGTAATTTTGTTGTTGTTGTTGTTGTTGTTGTTTTGCTTTTTGGGTTACACCTGGCAATGGTCAGGGGTTACTGCACTCAGAATTACTTCTCACAGCGCTCGGGGGACCATATGGGATGCCTGAGATTGAACCTGGATCCAACGCATGCAAAGCAAATGCCCTACTTGCTGTACTATCACTCCAGCCCCAAATTCTTGCTTTTTGACCCCTACCCCAAAACTGGCTCTACAGACCATATATTCCACAATAAATACCACGGGCATCCACCAAGAGGGTATCTGTAATTTGAGTTAGTTTGAAATGTCAATGCTTCATAAAGTCTTTACTATTCTCTGGCATGAACATCTGCGTTCTAGGTCCATTCTACTTGGAAAAACATTTCTAACCCTTCTTGCTGTGTGCCCTGACTGGTGTTGACTCTCAGTGTATCTTCCCTCTCCCATCCATGAACCCAAGTCCTGCTACTCTTCGGGGCACTCCTAGGGAAAGGGTCACAACACTCTGTTCTAGGTGTCACACACAGCACTGCAAACCAGGCACAATTACCTCTGGACTGATCATTGCAAAAACCAGTTCATACCACAGGTGCATGAGGCCAGTCCTAAGTCCCAGCCATGTTTGGGTGACACGTGAGGCTTAGCAAAGGAAAAACAAAAAGGAGTAAAATACGCTGATTTGAAATTTTAGGAAGAAAGATTTGTTTCTGCATATCTAAACAAATCTCTCCACTTAATAAGACTTTTTACTCCGTTTAATAGTAGTTACAAAAAATAGAAATTTCATTAAATTTGTTTTTGTAAACAAATGATGATCCAGTTGCAAATCCTAACATACTCAAATTCTCACAGAAAGAAGTCCATTTTCTTAGATACAGCATTTCTACTTTATATGCACATCTTTGAAAGGAAGTACTTTCCCTGCCTCATGGGGGGCGGGGGCGGGGAGAAGGCAGCTGGAATAGAGAAGGGATCACTAAGACAATGATGGTTGGAGGAATCATTTGCGATCGGAGATATGTGCAGAAAGTAAATAAAGGACCAAACATAATAACCTCTCAGTATCTGTCTGTATTGCAAACCATAATGCCCAAAAGTAGAGAGAGAGTATGGGGAAAAGTGTCTGCCAGGGAGGCAGGGGGAGGGTTGGAAAGAGGGGGTATACTGTGGACATTGGTGGTGGAGAATGTGCACTGGTGGAGGGGTGGGTGTTTGATCACTGTATGACTGAAACTCAATCATGAAAGCTTATAACTATCTCACAGTGATTCAATAAAAATAAATAAAAGAATATACTTTCATAGTTTTCTCTTTCTTAAGCACTTTAACTTAATGAATTCTGTTTTCTAAATACCCTAAAGCAGTGTGATGTACTGGACAATAAAGGGAAAATGTTAGCAAGATCCCAATCTGAATTTATAGGTCATACCTGGAAAAATCAAAAACTTACAGAAAAAATGAAACATAAAATAATAATAATAAAACTCTTTATTTTTAAAGAACCTTAAGGGGCGCAAGTGACAATACAGGTGGTAGGGCATTTGCCCTGCACACTACTGACCCAGGTTCGATCTCTGGCATCCCATGTGGTCCTCTTGAGAACTGCCAGGAGTAATTTCTGAGCACAGAGCCAAGAGTAATCCCCAGGTCTGCACCTCCCACCCACCCTCCCCCCCAAAAAAGTATTTTAAATAAGAACTTAGGAGTACAGTGGTGGCAATGAGTAACATAATGCAAGAAAAAATAGATAAAATTTTTCTAGAAAATGAAGTACCATGGGAATTATTTAGCAACTGGAAAACAAATTGAATGCAATTCAATTTTTAAAAACTTAAAGGGGTTAGGGAGACGGCTCAAGTAGGTGAGCACATGCCTGACAGCAACCCCAGGCCCCATGTGACCCAAGCACCATCGGCTCAAGCACTGACCTGTCAGGTCTCTGATGTCGGGCCAATCACTGGCAGGAGTGGCCCTGGGACTATGAAGCACTAGTCGTAAAGCCTCCTTTTAAAAAATAGCAGAAATATGGAATAAACTATATTCCTCTACAGCTTGACTTTATTCAAAGTATCAATCCTCTTATATTTCTAATTGTCCTACAGGAAAGCTTACTAACATGTATGTAGTGTCAACTTTTTGAAAGCACATTCCTGAGCAAGAGGCGGTTCTGTTCCCCAGTGACGAGGCCAAGGTGCTGCTCTTACCTCCATGATGGGGTTGGAGGCCAAGACTTTCTCCTCAACATTGGCTTCACTGGCAGAACCACTTACAGTGGCGAAGTATCGCATGGCATACTTGGCTGAGACTGTTTTTCCCGCCCCAGATTCTCCACTTACAATGATGGACTGATTTCGCTCATCTCTGTAAAATAAAGCAGAGTAAATTGCCAATACTGCTCATTTCTGAGTGTCATTAATACTATCCCCCAGTCCTCCGCTCCCTGCATCTTTTCATGGAGGAGACCCGGTTGAATTTCTGTTGTGAACTAACATAAAACATTGGAAAAAAAACATAATGAAATCTCTACTTATCAAAGTCAAGAACAGAAAATTAAAATCATTGTTAAAGAAAGTCACCAAAAGTGCTTTGCCGCTCTATGTGGCTACCAGAAGAAAGGCTGAGGGTCGGAGAGAGGACTCAAAGGGCAGCAGGGAGGAATTTGACCCAGTGTTTTGACGCAGTTTCAGGTTTCAGGTTCCAGAACCTTGATACAGAAAACCCATGTTCTGTTCCTGGTACCGCGTGATCCTCCACACACTGCAAGGAGTGGTCTGAAGCACTGAGTCAGATATTGACACCAGCTCCCCAGGTGTGGCCCAAAATCCAAAAGAAAAAGGGATGGAGGAAGGTGGGGAGAGGTGGGGAAAGAAAGGGGGTAGGGGAGGAACGGTTTGTTGACTAGACAGGACACAAGCAAAGAGCAGAGACAGGAAGAGGCAAATAGAGACAGAAATGGAACAAGGATAAAAAAGACACAAAGTGATAATCAAAAGAGCATATTTCCTAGCGACCGCCCATGGCTGACCACTAAACCTCTCCTCCAGAAAACTTTTTGTCACTTTTGTTCTAACTTAAAAAAATATATTATTGTAGTTTAGATAATGTGATTATAATAGTTCTTCTGAGCTGTTAATGGTTATGATGTTGATACAAAAAGTTCCAGACCAGTGTTCAAGACCTCCCCCACCATCCTTAAGTTCCCTCCATCTTCCTGTCTTCCTTCTCTCCATTGCTTGGATTGCATAATCCAAGTCAAAGTTCTTTGATAATGACTATTTCCTTGTTTTGTCTCTCTATACATCACAAATGAGTGGGATCACCTGGCATTCGTCCTCCCTCTGACTTATTCTGCTTCCAGTTCTCTTTATGTTGCAGCAAACTGTAAGGTTTCATCTTTTCTGAGTTAAATAATACTCCATTGTGCATATGCACCACAACTTCTTTATTCATTCATCTAGTTATTAAGCATTTGGATTATTTCCATACCCTGGTTATTGTATAAAGTGCTGCAATGAACACAGGTGCTCACACATCTTTTTGAAATTTTTTATGTTTCAGGGGTACACGTCAAGAAATGAAACTGCTATGTCATAGGGGAGTTCTATTCTTACTCTTTTGGAGACATCTACAACTGTTTTTCATGAATCTGAATCAGGTGACATTTCCACTAATTTTGAAAAAGGGCTTCTTTCTTATCCTACACTCACCAACATTGGCTGCTTCCAGTCTTTGAGATATATTAACGTTATTTTCACAAGGGTGAAAGGGTATCACACTGTTGTTGAGATTTGCATTTCTCTGATGATGAATATTTCTCAAACACCTACTGGTCATCTGCATATCTTCTTCCATATGTCTTTACTCATCTCTTTTTTTATGGGATTGTTGGTGTTTTGCTGCTGAACTCTGTGAGTGCTTTATATACTGTCACTGTCACTGTCCTCCCGTTGTTCATCAATTTGCTCAAGCAGGCCCAGTAACATTGTGAGACTTGTTACTGTGTTTTGGCATATCAAATACGTCACAGGTAGCTTGCCAGGCTTTGCTGTGCGGGCGAGACTCTCAATAGCTTGCCATGCTCTCTGAGAGGGAAGGAGGAATCGAACTCAGGTCGGCCATGCCGGCCGTGTGCAAGGCAAATGCCCTACCTCCTGTGCTATCACTCCAGCCCATTTGGCAGGGTGTCTATTTTAGCCTGAATTTCTTTTGCCATGAAAAACCTTTTAGTTTGATTTAGTCCAAGTTATTTTTGTTATCTTTACCAACAAAGTCAAATCACTAGAGACACCTTTGATTTCTTCATCTCAAAGAGCAGATTCATTATCTTACTCTGGAGATATTTAAAATAGTAACTGAAGCTATTTTATTGAGTCACTCAATTTTACTGGTATCTCCCATGTATATAGGAGGTATACATGCTATTATTGTAGCACTGTCCTCCCGTTGTTCATCGATTTGCTTGAGTGGGCCCAGTAACGTCTCCATTGTGAGACTTGTTGTTACTGTGTTTGGCATATCGAATACATCACAGTTAGCTTGCCAGGCTTTGCCATCAGGCAAGATACTCTCAGTAGCTTGCCAGGCTCTCCGAGAGGGGCAAAGGAGCTGAACCCGGGTTGGCCCGGTCAGCTGCATGCAAGGCAAAAGCACTACCTGCTGTGCTGTCGCTCCAGCCCATGCTATTATTAACTTAATTTTTTTTTTCTCTTGACAGAAATACTTCTTGACTTCTTCATGTTTTCAAGATGAATTTGAAAAGCAGAGTTTATAACCTCTTCCATTCACTTGAACTATAAATTTCACGTTGTTACATATGTGTAAATAGTTTATAATTTTTTAAAAAACCCAATTAGCTGATCAGACGCTATACATAATCCTTCATGTTACCTTGCCCAACACTGTAAGAATCTCTCTACCTGTGGGGTATAGGTATCCCTTCAAGATATTTTCCAGTGCTCATAAGGACTGATCAACAGAGTGCATCCTAGGGATGCAGGAGCCAAAAATTTTGTCTCCTGGCTTGCCAATAATTTCTTTTCTTTTCTTTTCTTTTCTTTTCTTTATTTTTTGCTTTTTGTAGCACACCGGAGATGCACGGGGATTACTCCTGGTTCTATACTCAGGAATTTCTCCTGGCAGTGCTCGGGGGACCATGTGGAATGCTGGGAATCGAACCTGGGTCAGCTGCGTGCAAGGCAAATGCCCTACCCGCTGTGCTATTGCTCTAGCCCCTTACCAATCTTTTCAAAGTTCTCTACCAAACTTATAGCCCGGGCATTAAGGCCTGAAAGCAGAGATGAATTCTTCTGACTTTTTTTAGTAATGGGTAGTTCCATAAACATTAATGTGAACTAAAATCCTCCATCTAAAACTGTAACTTTCAGATCACACGGCTTTTTCTCCTGGAAGGGACCAACATGACCCCCACCATAGCCATGCCACTGTACTCCGTGCCAGGCTGTTTCACTCAGGGTGCCCCAGAGGGGGGCAGGTGAAAGCCCTCCTGCCCCAAGGGACCCAGCCCCGGCAGCGGAAAACCTCCAGAACCCAACTGCCACCACGCCCAAGGCCGCTCCCCACACACTGGGGCCGAGCCTCACACACGAGTGAATGTATTCCTGGACATATCATAAGACACTTCCTACCCATTCTCCATAAGTACCACACCACAGTTGATGGGGTTTTAATAGTAGGTAACAAGTCATAGAGGAAAATATATATATGCATATATACATATTTTCAGATATATTTACAAAAGCTCACATTACTCAACTTTTAACAACACGTTACTGATATCCTAAAGAATGTCTTAATGACCCATGCCAAAATAGAACAATCTTCACACTGTTTCCCCTATGGATACTTTTTTGAAGCATTTTCAGCAGTTTTTCATAAGAGACAATACAAAATGTTACTTTGGTTGTGCTTTGGAGCAGGGATTCGGGCTTGGGATGGAAACATCCCAAATACGGAGGTGGGAAGGTGTAATGGTGGTGGGATTGGTGTTTGAATATTAACTGTAATCAAATATTATAAGCTACCTTATAAAATAAGTTTAAAATAAATACATAAATAAAACTGTAACCTCATTCATTCAACAAACACATATTGAGCAACCACAGAGCACCAAACACATTCTGGAGAAAAAGACTCAGGTCACAGCATATTGAAAGAGACTGAAAATTACCTAGAAATTGTTGGAAAAGAAAAACTATATAGGACACTATGATAGAATGAACGTAGGATATAGAATTGGTGGGAGACAATGCCCAAAAGGTCACACACACACACACACACACACACACACACACACACAGAAAGAGAGAGAGAGAGATTAATTAAAAAATTAAATTAAAATAAAAATTAAAAAATGAATTGGTGGGAGATGTGAGGCAAGTCAGGAAATTTTGTAAATGGTAATGCCTGAACTGGCTTATCTAATAATTAGAAGAAACTGAGATTGTATGGGAAAAGAAAATTAAAATTAAACTAAGTACAGATACCTTAAAATTCAGGGGAAATTATTCAAGGATAATATATACAACTCTCAGGAGATAAGAGAGATGTTATGCTTTAGTTTACAGTTTCCTTCCACGGTCTTCAGCGCCTATATTTATTTAATATGGCTTCCTGAGCTCTTTCAGGAGTGACGCCTGAGCACAAAACCAGAAGAAAGCCTTAATCACAGCTGGATGTGGCCCAAAAAACAAACAGAAAAGACTAAAGTAAATGAAAAGAGAATTAAGACACGAGATGATCACACTTAATGCAATTTACTTAAACTTAAATGCAATTTGGCATTTCTCAAGGTGCTTTTCATTATCATCTAATAACATATTCACCTCCAAAGCAAGCATGATAGACACTGTCTTTTCCTCCGGGGGAAGACAAGAGCTTAGAAGGCTAATCCAAGCTGTCCAGTGTGCTAAAGCCAAGCTGCCTGTAACACACCACATCTCCTGGGCTCCCAGGCAAGTCTACATTCTGCTCCTGCTGCTTTGGAACAACCTTTTAATGTGGTCTGTCCTACGCCAGAGACAGGAAAATTCTTTTATGTTAGTATCCATGAAAACAGAAAGCAAATGCATACCACAAGATACTCTAAGTATAAAGCTACACCAAAGTCTTCCATTCCACAGATTCAGAGAGACCAGAAAAGAATGAGTCATGTAGTTATTTATTGATGGAATGTACCAAGTACAGGTATATTTTTATTATATCAGATATATGTTGGGGGCTGGAGAGATAGTATAGCAGGTAGGACACTTGCCACACAGTCAACCTGGATTTAATATATAGCACCCCATATGGGTCCCCCAAGCCTCGTCATAAGTAATCCCTAAATGCCAGAAGAAAGATTA